CCGCCTGCACCCTTCAGCACCCCCACCCCCACCACCACCCCCACCACCACCCCCACCCCACCTTGACATCTGATACTCCAATCCCAAAGGGTCACCGGGCGCGGCCACATGGACGTCAACCGCATCAGCGGTTACATCCCGGGGAAGATCGTGTTCTTCCTCATGCAGGTGGGGGGATCACAGGGGGATCAGATCCGGGTGATTTGGACAATCTGGGATCTGGGATCTGGGACTTTATTTGCTGGTGGCACCTGCTGCGTGCGCTGGGTCAATTTGAACGCCTCGTCAGCAACAGCATGCATTACGGGCACGCTTATGCACTTTTATACACTCACACTAGACCCCTCACATACGGCCAATTCCTGCGCATACACATCCACACACAGGACAGCAACAATACACATGCGCACACACACACACACACACTTACACACACACACACACATACACACATATCCACCCGTGTAACACACCACTCGCACCACCCCTGCCCCCCCCCCTCAGATCTGCAAGGCGGGCATGGCCGCGGGCCAGAGCCGCAAGATCTGGCTCACGCGCCACGGGGAGAGCGAGTTCAACGTGCTGGGCAAGATCGGCGGAGACTCCCTGCTCAGGTGCGACACACACAATCACACACACACGCGCGCACACGCACACACACACACACTATACACACACACACGATTACACACACGCGTGCGCGCACGCATGCACGCACACACGCGCGCGCACACACACACACAGTCACACACACACACATCACACACACACACACACCCGCGAGCGTGCACGCGGTACCATCCGTGTGCATTGATCGCGTCGCGTCGCACCGCACGCCACTGTCGTGTCTTCATCCCCCTTCCGCTCGCGGGGCTCTTGCCGCGAGCCGGCTGCGTCTCTCGGTGTTGGAAAGCGTGCGCTTCCAGAGCAATGGGGGTGGTGGCCCGGGGGCGCTCGGCGCGTTGCTGTGGTTGCACAGGAAGTGACGCTTCCACCCTGCACCCTGCACCCTGCAGCCCCCGTGGCGCGGAGTACGCGCAGCGGCTGCCGGAGATACTCGACTCGCGGCTGCCCCCCCGCGGCGGCGGCGGCGGCGAGGACGGGCGGGAGGTGGGTGGCTCTGACCTTCGAATCCCACCCGCTGCTTGGTCTCCCTCTGCTTCTTTTGCTATCTGCTTGTTCGCAGCTTTTGTTGTGTGTTGCGATGTCGTCCACACGATAGTAACATTTCGACTTGCATTGCGGCTCTGATTGTGCATGGCTGCGTGTCCATTTCTGACGCGACGAGGCTGCCCCCGTGAGTTGTGTGCTGTCCGCCGCGACAGCCCCACCGCGGCTCGCGCCAGCGCCCCGCATGCGCAAGCCGCGCCTGCAGGGCGCCGGCTCGCGGCTTGTCCGGCTCGCAGACACTATTGAAATTTCCGGCTGCCTCTCCCGTCCCACAATTCCTGGCTATTTCTTTGAGTTGCTTCATCAATTGCTACACACACACACACACACACACACACACACACACACACACACAACTTCACTCTCACACACGTAAACACAACCATCCTCGCACCTGCCCCTCCCCCTTCCCCCAGGCCCACCATGAGGGTGGTGTCCCGGTCAGCGTCTGGACGTCAACCCTCAAGGTGGCACCCCGCCGCGCCACGCGGCCCAATGAGCCGTCACTTCCCCGCCCGCACGGCACACTCCTGCTCGCGCAAATTCACACCACCGCCCCGCCCAACGAGCGCAGGCCACGACGCTTTTGGCTTCACTGTTGACTTGCACTGGCGCACGCATCTGGACGCCGCCCCCTGTTGCTTGCCGGCCCGCCCATCCAGCTCGCGCGCCCCGGCCTCTTCCCTCCAACACAATTCCACTGCGGCACAGCAGCGCAGCCCTCAGCCCTGCCC